GCTTACTATAAATGATGCTAATACTTTACAAAGGAACACAGTAAAATCAGTTACTACTTCTTGAAAGAAAAGTCTTCATGGTATACACACCTAAAATATTTGATGCTCAACTATAATTTGACTTTGGATACAAGAGCAGAGCAAAAACTAATGAAGGCACTTCATTTGGCTATATGAAAATTCAACAAAAAGAATTTTATATTTCATTATTTTTTATAAAATTGGGAGTTATACATCCTTACATAAGTAAGATTTATTCTAAATTAATGTATATTAATAGATATGTATACATACAAGTATATACTTTTTAGAGAACTGGTTGTTAAACATTTGCCAGCAGACCACTGTATAAAATTCTCTTTCAGGCTTCACAGACACACATTCAAATTAAAGTGAATATGTACTCTTCAAAAAAATAAAATATTTAATGTTTAATTGCTTAAAAATAAAATAGGATAGACCTCATGAGCCTAATTAATTAAAAGCATGTTAATGCTTTACGATTACACTGTCACATATAATCTCATTGACTACCTTTTGAGGCAAGTTGGGATTATTTCCCCCAATTTATGGATAAGGGAATTGAGATTTAGAGGTCTTAAATGATTGCCCTGGGCCACTCAGATAATCAGTGATAAAATTGAGAACATTATTCAAGTCTCAAGGGTTCTCTACTGCTCTATTCACTATATATTTCTTCCAGGATTGTCAATGTTTAGATCTCATCAAGATTCACAATTGAGTTCTCTATGACAGGGGTGTCAAACTCATTTTCAGTGCGGGCCACATCAGCCTCACAGTTGGCCAGATGGCCAAAATAATTTTAGGACTGTATAAATGTAACTACTCCTTAGCTGTTAGGGATTTGAAATTACATTCAGCCCTTTGAAGGCAACTGTGAGGCTGATGTGGCCCCTGGTGAAAATGAGTTTGACACCCCTGGTCTATGATCATGTCAGAATACCCTATGTAATACAGGTGTCAGGGATCAAAGATAACACCAGCATCGATGTTACTGTTTAAAGTGAAAAAGAAATATTCTACTTCATTCAATTGTTTTTTCATTCAAACAACAAATAATTAAACACTAAAATACAGGGTCCAGCAGAAATAAGGCCTGCTTGAGTGTGGTTGGTAGGGTAATAATATCGGTGTAATAATTTATAGTTTTAATTTGAACATTTCACTTAAAATGTCATATAATGTGCTTCAGTATGATATTGTTATGTTCCAGAATTACATGCTTATGATATTGTAAGATACTATGTAATAAAAAAGAGGTGTTATTTGTGCCAGACCCTATATGTGCCGGGCATTGTGCTAGGCACTATTATACCTAACTCTATTAGTTATTTTTTGCGGCATAAGAAATTATCCCCAATGTAATGGCTTAAAACAACAAACATTTATTAACTCACAATTTCTCTGGGCCAGGAACTCAGGAGCACCTTAGCTGAGTGGTTCTGGCTCAGGTTCTCTCTTGAGGTCCCTAAGGTGATCAGGGATGCAGTCATCTGAAGGCTTGACTAGGGTGGAAGATCCGTTCCCAAGCTCACTCACATTGCTGTTGTCAGGAGTCCTCAGTTCCGCACCAGCTGTTAGCTGGAAGCCTTAATTACTCATAATGTGGGTCTCTATGTGTTTTATGATGCTCCCCCCACCCCCAAAATCATACTATGTTATTTCTCAAATGTTCTATCCATGAGAGCAAGTCACTAACTACAGTTCAAACTCAAGGTGAGGGAAATTCAGCTCCACCTTTTGAAGGAAGAAGTATCAAAGAACCTATGGACATATTTTAAACCTACTATACCAGTGAACATAATTTACTATACAGAACTTAATCTAATTATTACAAAATGATTTGTTAATCTAATTGTAATATTTGGGTATTTAAAGAGAAACTAAGTCTATCAGAGAAAAAGTGGTTTCTTATGGTTATTACTGCTTGTTTGCATTGTGTCCCCATTTTCCACTCACCCTGTTTATTGAAAATACTGCATAGTGCTAAATAAATGATGACTTCTCCTATCTTAATATACCAGCTAGGAATTGCATTTGGTGCTTATAACAAAAAAGCTGAACAACAAAACCTTAAATAGGAGGAATTCATTTTCCCTCATGCAACAAGTCCAGAAATGGGCAGTCCAGAACTGGTAAGCTGGCCCTCCAAAGCTATCATGAAACAGGCATCTCTGACTTCCTATGCTATTAATAGTGTGTGGGGCTTTTGTTATTATGGTTGAAATATGGCTCTTCTGCCTCCAGGATCTGCCATTGCTCCTGGTAAGAAAAGGAATGGGTACAGGTCCAATGACTAAGTGAATATTTCTTCCATGAAGCTTTGAGTCCCTCCTAGAAATACTCACTTTAATTTGGTTACAGACCACATGGCCAACATGGCTTACAAGAGTCCGGGGAAGTAAAGATTTTTAACTGGACACATTGTCACCCTGAAAAAAAAAAAAGAATTCTACTAGTAAGGAAGAAAGGCTATTGCTTTCAACAACCAGCAGTGTCAATCACCCTGCTTCCAGGGGCCTCAAGCACACGTTGCTCTGGCCCAATGAGCTCTGACACATACTACTGAAACACTGCACCAGACTGACAATACTGTCTGAGGTTTATCTGTGTTTCATATGGGAGAATCTGGTTCTTTTGTGTCCCATGTATAAAGTATATTTTTCATAGCAGCCACACATTCTTTTTTCTAGTTGATAATGTTGAAGAATTGGCTGATGAAAATATCACTTCTAGGAATTTATCCCAAAAGATAATTAACTGCACAGCTGTACAAAGGGGCATGTATGAGGAAGTTCATCAGAGAGTTGTTAAAAATAGCAAACATTTGGGGAAAAACATAAATGACAATCAATAGATAAATTATGGTATATCCACTTAATGGATATTATGCAAGTTTTAAAAGTGATGTTATTCATGACAGACTGTTCAGTTAGAAAAGAACTGTGTACAAAGGATCCAATTTAGAAAGTACTGTATTTATATGTCTTTATGTATTTTTTATTCTTGGAGATGCATGGAAGAGTAGAACATGAATTTTTAAAATGGTTATCTCTGGATTATGAGATTTGGGAAAACACTATTTGTTTGAGTAGTATGTGTTATTTTCATCAAAATAGTAGCTATTTTCAAAAATACCCAAGAGGGTGGGAGGGACTGACCTTATCTGGTATTCTTCATATTAACATGCCTTGTTGCCAGTAATTTTCTTAGATATGCTGTGGCTGAACTTATCCTTAGACATTTCTTATCTTAGCTCACTAGAAAATGTTATTCCTTATTCACTATAAATTTCATGAAATTGAAATGAGGGGTTTTTTTTTCCTTTGCTTTCCTTTCTATTTCGAACAGTGACTTCCGAAGGCTCTCCTTTCCCTGTTTATAGCAGCTGTGGAAGGGGAGGCCGGGGAAGTGAGAATGGAGGTAAGGACGAAAGGGCGGGAAGTCTGGAGGTGTGGGCCAGGGAAAGAGCAGTAAACTGAACATCAGGATCCTTGCACTTCTAGTATGAGCCTACCCGTTTATCTTTCTGACCTCAGTTTTCTCATCAGAAAAATGAGAGGTTTAGATAAGAATCACTAGATGTTTTAAAATTCTTTTTGGAAGTTTCTTTTGTATCTATTTAATGGCATATCCTGGAAAACTACACTAGAGCAGAATTTAAACAAATTAAAGGAAAAATAACAAAAACTTAAAAATGTTGTTTCTTTCTCCCAGGGATGTTAAGTTACAGTGCAAAGGTTACACAACTAATAGGTAGAGGGTGCAAGATTCCAGCCGATTCTACACTCCTAACAGCTTTGCCAAAAGCCACTATAGAACTGCCTTAGGAGGGCATTTAAAGGAAGCTTGATAGCTTTCTCATCTTCAAGTTAGGCCTTGTAGATGACGGTTAACCCTAATAAATCCAAGACCTTATCCCAATTTTCTGATTGCTTCCATTGCCTCTATAGCCCGACAGGCTTCTCCCTCTAATTTAAAGATAACTTTCTGATTCAGGGTCTTTTTGCCAATTAAAGAGGAGGTAAGTTTTGCAAAGCCCAGAGGAAGCTTCTCCAGCCATTGCCTGACAGCACTGAAGTAACCCAAGACCACGTGTGCCTACAGAAGGCTTTGTAGTATTATCATTGAATTTTCAGCCCTTCCTAGTTCACAGAACTGGTTACCAAGCACTCGCCTGCGTACCTTATCTTGCTGTACTTCCTTTCATTAAGGCCTGAGAGATACCAAGTAAAAGGACTACGAGGGTGGGATGGGGAAACGGAGAAACGGGGTGAAAGCAGGCTAAAGGTCAAGACTCCGGCAGAGCTGTCCCTCAAAGGTCCTTAAGGCGCCCCCCCCCCCCCCGGCTTCAGTCCTTGCTGTTTCATTGCATTAGTCCCTCTCAAGGTCCGGGCTAGTGCAAGACCCTACAGCTGGAAGAGGAAGGTGAAGGCCAGCAGTGAAATGCCGCCAGAGGGCTGCGACTATCGCTCACAGATCTGACTTCCCAGACCCTTACGCAGAAGGGCGAGGCGTGAGCTCAGTAGCCAATCCCGGCATCCGCACGTCTCCGTAGCTCCGCCCACCCTGCCCCTTTTCACTCTGCCCATCCCTGGGGCTGGTGCGGCGGCGGCGACGTAAGCGATAGGAGACCCCTGGGTGGCGCCTGCGCCGTCGGCGGGCCGCGGCCTGGACGCGCTGCAGGGAGGGGCGGAGCGAGAGGGCGGGGGCGCGCGCTGGGCGCCCCTGGCTGCCGCCACCGCCACTGCCGGCGAATAATCTAGGCGGCAGCGGGCGGCCCGGGCTAGCGGCTGCAAGCTTACTTCTGCGGCTGCTGAGGAGAGAAAAGGTCGCGGGTCTCGTGTGGTCCTTCTCTCCGCCCCCCAGGAGGGGCGAGAGGGAGCCGCAGCTGATGTCAGGTACGGCCGGCGGAGGCGCCCTCAGGCTGCGAGTCCTAGGTCTTGGTTCCCCTCTCCCTCCTCCATTTCGGAGTGTCAGTGTGGGGCGGGAGGGGGGGGGCAGCCTGGAGGGTGGAACCAAACCCTGGGCTAGCCAAACAGGTGTCTTGGAGTCGCCGCGGCAGCACGCGAGGTGCGGGCTCCTGAAGGCGGTGCGGGGCACTTCCTGCTGCGGGCGCTTCTGAGAACTGCCATTGGGTCCGCCTGCCCAGCCGCCCGCTATTTGGTGGGATTGTTGCGACCTCTTCGCCGTGGGTCCTTCCCCTTTGCCTTCCCGCGCCTTCCACCTCCTCGCGCGGTGCCTGCCGTCGGGCGGCGACGGTGAGACGCTGGCTGCACCCGGTTTACGGCGGGACCATTTAGCGGTCCTGCCCCGCAGGGCCCTCCCGGCCCCCTCCGACCTGTGGGTCGAGCGGGACCTGTCGCTCAGGTGTGGGCACCTTCTGCGAGAGCCTGCCGGCTGCCGCGCCACCTGAGCTTCCAGCGAGTGGGCGCCTTCCACGAGTGTCGGAGACTTCTGGGCTTTCTTGGAATATCAGGTTTGTCTGTGAGAAGTATGTATTTTTAAATACCCCTGCCTTGGCAGAATGACCAAGCCGGGTTGTGCTTTGAGCGCTTGGAGAGGGAGAAAAAGAGTACCTCCCTACTTTACCCCCAAACATTTGATTAATAGCTGCTGACAAGTTGGCCTTACAGCTTTTGGATAAATTATATGTTCTTAAAAGGTGAACGTTATTTAGGAGTGGGGACTTATTTTTTACCTTCTACCTCTTACCCTCTTCTCTTATTTTGTAAAATAATACATAGACCCCCCCCCCCCCAAAAAAAATCACACGCTCTGGAAACGTTGACTAGATTTATAAACGAGTTCTCTGAGTTCATTATAGATATGTGGTGTATCCTTTTTGCGCTTTTCAGATTGGAAACTATTGCTACCTGTGAATTGATTTCACTATGAATTTAAAAGTTAGTTATAAAGTTAGGACTTTAATGCATCAGAGTGAATAATTGGCCAATGTGTAAGGGATAGAAATATGTTCATTCACTAAAAGCCGGGCATGAAACAGATAGCTGTGTCTGGGTGCCAGGAAAAAGTGTGCGTGATTTCAAGTTGTTTAATTCTGGTGTAAGTTTAGACAGTGGGAATCTTGAGTTTTTAAGAGGTACTTAGCTTTTCACACCCTTATCAGATAATCGTCAAATGAGCTTTATGCACATGATGTTATATGTATTCTAAGTATTAAACTATACCGACTGTATTTTCTGTCAGTCTTAGTATATATTGATATGCAATTGAGTGAATATAAACTTTTGAGTTACCAGTTAACTCTTTGTACTATATTTTAAGGAAAACAGTGATTTACTAAGGAAAGTGTGACTCATCTAAAGTTCTTAACAAGAAAAGAGTTTGGTTTCTCAGTACTAGTAGAAAAGTATTAAATGTCTCTTGTAAATATGTTTGGAATTTATGTGTTAATTAATCTTTTAAATTAGGGCTTAGAATTTTAAAAATGTTTTGTGGTTACTACCCATTAAAATGTAGGTATCTTTTTTTAATATACTTTTTTTGGTATAGAGTATATATTTCTGAGTGAGTTCAGTATTCAGAAATTATTAGAATTTTCTCATATACTTATTTAGGAGTACGTATAATGAGTTAATGTTCAGCTAAGTCACAGAAATACAAACGTTTGCCACTAGACATACACCTTTTACTATTTGTGTATTGATTTGTGCTCACTAAGATAAAAAATGCACTGTATACAGCTTACAAATGGTAATTTAAAGTGTTCTTGGTGTCGTAAAATCATTGGTTGGAATTCTTGTGACAGTGCAGGTATAACATTAGATGGAAAATGGACAACCATGCTGAACTTAAGATTCACTTAAAATATTAAGCTTCCCAGTATGACTGTGTGACTAAGATTTGTTGAGATATGAGTAGAAAGGCTAGTGTACAAACTAGCAGGATGAAAAGAAAGGTATGACAAAATTCTTTTACCCAATATACAGTGGGATTAAGGCCATTTTTTAAAAAGGAGAAGGGAAGAAAGGGAAATTAGCATTTTATCTTAAAATCTAAATATGTTTCTAATGTGTACTTAAATTTTCACTTTGCAGCTGATTCAAATGTCCAAGGGGAAAATGCATGCCAAAATCTGTAATGTGTGAAAATATGAAGTGTCCCTTGGAGGAAAAAAAGCTCCCATCACAACTTGGGGGAGTGCTACTGGTATCCAGTTAGTGTAGGCCAAGGATGCTGCCAAACATCTGACAGTAAACAGAGCAGCCCTCACGACAGAGAATTATTCAGCTCAAGATGACACTTGTGCCAAGTTAAGAAATCTTGGCTTAATGGGACTTCCGTAAGTTGGGGCATAGGTGGTGGATGGAAGAGGGTGTTTGTTGTGTAGACAGAGAAGACAGTAGGAATAGAGGAGCTAACTTCATTGGGATGTTTAGCAAGCTAGACAGTTCAGGATTGCTGAAGCATAAATTAATAAGGCATGGAATATTCAAATGTGAGTCTGCAAACCTGGAGAGAGTCTAGATTAAGGACTTATCATGGGCGTAGTTTTTGTCTTATAGGCAATGGGGTTCCATGGAGTATTCATGGAGTGACATTTAGATAGGTCATTTTGGTGTCAGAATGGGGATGTGTTGAAGAGACAGCATTTGAGTCAGGGAAACTGATGAAATATTGCAGTACTTTAGGGGAGAGAGGAGGATCGGACAAGTAATAGGAGAAATAGGATAAGTAATAGAAATGGAGAGGAGAGGATGGATTAGAAAAATATTTAGTAAATAAAATTGGCAAGATTTGGTAATTGGATGTGGGGTAAGGGTAAGGGGAGTGTTAAAAATGTCTCCCTATTTTCTACTTTAGATAATCAGACGGCTCCTGGTAAAATAGGAACCTATTGGTCAGTAATTTAGGTAATTACCAGCAATTTAGGTGAGATGAGCAGACTTAAGCGAGGAAGGCAGTGAGAATGAGTCTGTTTTGGACATGTTGAATTTGAGATGCCTGTGGTCCAGGTGGAAATTTCTTGTGTATATATGATTCTGAAACTTGGAGAAGTCTAAAAAGGATCAACAGATCTTTTTGTGTGACAAGTGTAGGAAGATTAGTGCAATTTTTTTTCTTATATTATTTCACTCTGTATATAAAATAGACTACCTTTATTTTTCTTGTTAGAAAAGTAATAGGTGTGTACTTGACTTAAAAATTAAAACATAAAAAGCTTATAAAATGAAAATAAATTTGTCCTTCCTGCCTGTGCGACTGGGTCTTAGTTCCCAGAAATACCATTTGTTAAAATATTTTGTGCACAGTACTTCCCACTTATCCATGGAGCATGTGCTCCAAGATCCCCAGAGGATACCTAAAACTGTGGATAATACCAAACCCTGTTATACAGACATACCTTGGAGATAATTACAAGTTCGGTTCCAGGTCATTGCAATAAAGCCAGTCATAATCATTTTGCTGGTGGAGGGTATGCCTTCCATTTGTAAAAAAATGCAACATCTGCACAGTAAAGCAAAGTGCAGTAAAACAGGGTATGCCTGTATATTACTGGGGTTTTTTTCCCTAAACATACATACCTTTTCACTTAAGGAAAGCACTTTTTACACTTCTCTTTGAGACCAACACTATTCTTGTGCTTTAGGGCCATTATTTAGTAGAATAAGGATTACTTGAACATGCTAATCAATATCGATGGACCTGATAACCTTACTACTAAAGTGACTAATGGAAGGGGAGCATATACAGGCTAGATGGTGTACAAAGTGATGAATCACATCCTGGGTGGTACAGAGCTGGATAGCGCGAGATTTCATCATGCTACTTAGAACAGTGTGCCTTTTAAAACTTACGAATTGTTGATTCTGGAACTTTCCATTTAATTTTTTTGGACCACAGGTAACTGAAACCACAGAAAGTGAAAGTGGATTGGGGGAGGGGTTCTATACTTATATTTTTAGAATTTTTTGACATATAAAGAAGCATTTAAAAAACTGAATGCAGTCATACAATACAGACGGTAGTAGTGCTTTGTCTTAAAAAATAAATCCTTACACACTTGTTACATAGTTGTTAAAAGAGGTTGTATTATGGGAGAAAATAAGAGAAAAGGGTAAAGTGGAAATTAATGTATCTAGAGCATCATCTCTTTGATGTAAATTAAAGGATGCATGTACATGTATGCTGATATGGCATTACTTTTTTCCCCCCAAGGATATACAAGAAGTGATACTAGTTACCTTTGGGGAGAACTAGTGTAGAGTTGGGAAAGAAAACGTTTTCTTTTCTGTATATTTTATTTTTTTTCTATGGTTTCAACTGGGTTTGTTTTACCTTACTAACAAAAGGTGATGGTTTTTGCCAGAAGTGCAAAGTTTTTATTACTGCATTATGGTTCATTGTTTTCAGCAGCTGCAGAGTGTTTGATGGTATGGATTGTGTTATTTTTTAAGTAGTTCCTTGTCAATAAACAAACATAGCTGTGGCTGGCATGAACATCTTTCAGACCATGTCCATAAGAGAAATTTCTAATTATGAAATGATGGGTCAAGGCATATTTATTTAAAAATTTTAAGAAGTACTGCCAAAAGACGGTAAATAGTGTGAGAAAGAATGTATGAGTGCCAGTTTTCTCTCATATCTATGTCAATACTGGGTGTTAACTAAACTTCAGTTTGTTTTGCCAGTATGTTAGGTTAAAAACAGTATCTTCATTTAATTTACATTTCTTTAGTATGAATGAAATTTAAACATTATTGACCACTGTATTTTCCTTTTCTGTAAGTGCTTTTTTAAAATCTGTTTTTATTTTTTTATACTTTATTTTTAGATTTTATATATTTATTTTTAGAGAGTTGGGAAGGGAGAGAAAAAGGGAGGGAAAGAAGCAGTTTGTGTGGTTGCCTCTTCAGAGCCCCCTACTGGGGACCTAGGCATGTGTCCTAGACTGGGAATTGAACCCCTGAACCTTTAGTTTTCAGGCTGTCACTCAATCCAGTGAGCCATACCAGCTAGGGCTAAAATCTGTTTTTATATTAGGTTGATTTTTTTGTTTTTTCTCTATGACACTTTTGTTTTCCTGTACAGACCTTTGAACCAGCAATTTCACTACCAGAAATTTATACAATGAATAACCTCATACAGTTTTTCCATAGTCACAGTGTTTGAGTTTTGGGAAGATCTCAATTCATGATGTAAACATGTAAAAAGATGATGTTTTCTAGTTTTGTTTTTATTTTTTAAATATTGAAATCTTGGAAATATTTGGAATTTGAAAGAGAAAGGTAGGGATCCAGCTGGTTGCTTTTTACTTTTTCCCAAAAGATTAATTCAGTATCATTTCTTGAATAAGCCATGTTTTTCTTGATTTGAAATGCTATGTGTATTCTGTATTAAATTTCCATATGTACTTTTTTTTAAAAAAAGATTTTATTTATTTATCTTTAGAGAGAGGGGAAGGGAGAGAGAGGGGAAGGGAGGGAGAGAGAAAGAAAGGGAGAGAAACATCCA